GAGAGAGAGAGAGAGAGAGAGAGAGAGAGTATTTTAATTTAATTAAAAATGTTCTATTAAATAAATAAAAATCTTAAATTATATTAAAATGAAATAATTTAGTAAACAGTATGTTTACTATTGCACATATAATAATAGAGTATAATATGAATTTCAAATGAACATAATTATCTATTAGCAAATTAATTACTTAAAAATACATTGAATTTGCTATAAATAATTTGTAATAAAAGACAAAAACTTTTCAGGAGAAATGTGTACTTTGTTGGGCTCCAATGGTTCGGGGAAAACAACACTATTGAAGCTAATATCGGGTAGATTTAAGCCTCGATTGGGAACGATTACTGTGTTTGGTTGCCAACCATTAACCAATAAATCTGATATTCCTGGTCCTGGTGTGGGATATATGCCTCAACAGACTTCACTATTTAATGAGTTTACTATAAAACAAATACTCAATTATTACGGAATAATATATGATATGACCAAAAATGCGATCATCGCTCGTATCGATGAATTGAATAAATTGTTACGTTTGGCGCCTTTGGATGCAGTGATTGGTCAGTTAGACGATAACGACCGCCGACTTGTCTCACTTGCCATCGCTTTCATTCACACCCCAAAGCTATTAATATTAGACGAACCGACGGTTGGCGTCGATATAATATTTCGGTTTCGTATTTGGCATTATTTGGTCAAACAATGCCAACAAAATGGTTATTAAATCTAATATTTATTTTTAAAAAAGTAATATTTAATAACTAAATAAATAAATTGTTTAATTGATTAATAGATACGACGGCTATTATAAGCACTCATTACATAGAAGAGGCCACAAATTCTGGAACCGTCGGCTTTCTATACAAAGGCGAGTGTCTGGGCTATGGATCTCCAGACCAACTGCTTCAACACTACGGGTGCCATACATTAGATAAAGTTTACTATCAGCTCTGCAAAGAATCTATTGCTAAAAGTCACGGATCTTTTAAAAGTGATGTCGAAAATAATTTATTATCTATTGAAGAACTGCTGAATAACACCAAAATAGAGGTTAAATCTATGCCAATGAGAACCACATTTTATTGGAGACATATTAAAGCACTTGTATTACGAAATTTGTTGGAAGCAAAGGGGAAACCAATTCCGCTTTTAATGTATTATTTAATACCAATTGTGGTTATATTAATGGTGAGAACATGTTATAGTAGACCGCATAACATACCGGTTGGTATTGTTAATCACGATTCGCAACTATCCAATATTTTTATCGCCCAAATGGACAATAATTTATTTACCAAAACTTATTATAGTAATAATGTGTCCGCATATGAATCTGTAGTTTCGGGCACTAATTCGTTGTCTATTGTGTTTGACAACGGCTTTACCGATAGTTTAAAACATCTATT